ATGCGTACGCATAATATGCATACATAAATGTATAACCTCCAAACCAAGGGATCATGAATTTAGTACTTCATTCTCTAATTTTTGGTTTGGTAAGCGCAAACATGCAGGGTGTCTTGCTGCATTTATGAATCATGAATAATGTGGTTTTGTTTCAAATTACATGTTTCATGACTTCTTCGCCCCAAACTTTTCTTTGATTGTTCGGCACAAGTACTTATAGTCAAGAGTGGAGGGATGGGGACTAGTAAGGGCCACAACTCCCAAGTTTTTATTGTTTTTCCTTAGTATTAATAAATGTTATATACATCTAGCCCCTTCAATATTTATGAAAACTTTATAATATATGTACTTTTTAACCTCAGCCACCTCATAGTTAAATTTTGATTTCGCCCTTTCTTATATTATTACATGAGATTCACTACTGTTTAATTTTGGAAGAATTACATATAAGTCCCAGACAATACAATTAAATATTATAAGGAGTTACGTTATGCTCATAGTCAATGCAATTTTGTTTTGGGTTGGGTGCTGCTGCATTACTTTTTGCCCCCTTCAAATTTAAATTTGAATGTACTTGGGAGGTGTTTCTGCACTCAGGTCACACTTCATGTGAGTGTGTTACATATGGAAGTGATTCCTTGCCTTTCTGCATGCACAGAAGATATGTGACTTCAAGTATCACTACTAGCAGGGTGGGAAGGGGAGGAGTCATGGCTTCAAAATTTTTAATTGTTTCTTAGTATTATATAGATCTTATATACTTTCAGTCCCTCAAGATTTATGAAAATTTTGTAATATATATGCTTTTTAATCCCGGTTCCTCGCATAATTAAATCCTGACTCCACCCCTTATTACCAGCTATGTTTTGTAATGTGATCGTGGTTTTTCATGCTTGCAGGCCCTCCTTAAGCTGATTGCAGATTGCTCATGCGTAGCGTTGAATCCGAGCAGAAATGATTCAACAAGCGAGTCCCCTTTAAAGATAGCTCTGTTTTCCTTGGGAAAAATGTGTGCACACCCCCCGTGCAGACAGTTCCTCCGTTCATCGCCCTTGTTTCCTGTAGTTGGAAGGCTTCAGCAATGCCCTGAACCATCAATTGCCAAGTATGCCTCTGTAATTGTTAGCAAAGTTGCTGAAGTTTGATGCTAATTGCCACCACCATATTTCCATGGATGCCATTCTAGTATTTTTTTTTTTTTTGACTGAAGGATGTCATTCTACTAATCCACTTGAAATGTGAGATAATAAAATGTAAGATGGGTGGGCTAGTCTTTGTTAGTAACAATGGTACAAGTCATAATAAACTTATGCCTTGCACTTGAAATGGACTGTATAATATCAGCTATGTCCATTTTTATATATCTATTCTGTATATAATATAAATGATGGGTAAATCACACAAAAGGACTGGGAAGAATATATGTCGCAAAAAAACAAAACTACCTCTTATACAGCAATTAGATAATTCTGAAATTGCTGTGAAAGATCAAGAGATTTAAATGTTATTAAAATTTATGGTGAAAATACAAAACTACCTCTTATACATTTATAAATACATATATATTTTACTATTGTCACTGACTATTGGAGCTCCAACTTTGACCCTTGGAAAGCCACTGCCAGACTTGTCGCTAGCAATCGGACCACCGACGTCAGTGGCAATTAAATTCAATTTTCAGGTGGCAAGGGAAGGTTTGAACTCACATCCTTGATCACCAAAAAATCCGATAGCTACCAAGCTACCAATGGTCCTTAATTATATAATGCACAAATTTATATATATTATTAGCTTTGTTTTCACTTTTCAAATTACCACTTATTAGGAGCTTAATTTTATTTGTCATTTCACAAATGGTTACTTATTAAATTATTAATAGGACTTGTTAATTTAACATGCACAAGTTTTTATAATGTTTACTTTTTTTTATTATCAAAATTTTACTTATCAAAAGCTAATGTAAATGGATGTAGATCCTCTCAGAATTGTTTTGCCTTAGCGTCCCTTCGTGTCCCAATATGATCCCTTCAATAAATATCCAATGTTTCATAGTTTGTCACATCATTTCATGTCAAAATAATTTTATTTTAAAAAATAATTCTTTCATTAAATTAATTTTTTATTTCATTTTCTATTTTTAAAACTTGTTCTAAAAAATTATCTTACATATTTTTATAAAGGATTTACAGTTCGGCTTATTCAAAGTCTAGCTTAACTTATTTAATAAAAATTTGTTTGAAAAAAATTTACAAAGTAAGTCAGAATATGAGCAGGTATTTATAATATGATTTATTTAAATTCTGGCATGATTTATTTAATAAAAATTTATTTAAAAAATTTACAAAGTAAGTCAAATTATGAGTAAATATTTATGGTCTGGCTTATTCAAACTATGACTTGATTTATTTAATAAAACTTTATCTAATAGAACAAGTTGAAAAAATTATTTTTTGAAATAAATTTATTTTTACATGAAATGTTATGACAAAGTATGAGATATTAGATATTTATTGAAGGGTTGAGATTGGTATTTTGAGGAATGCTGAGGAAAATGACAGTGAGAGGATCTGGATCCTATGTAAATTTGGAATTTTAATAAAGTTTATTTGTAAAGTTATTAAAGGAAATTTCAAAGTTTGTAATTGAGACTTATTAAAAAATTTAATATGTAGAAACTTTTATGGATATTTACTTGTTAAGCCACTTGGTGGCATTTTGGCTGCCCTAACAATGGTGGGGTTTTTTTTAAAAAAATATATTTGCGGGATATATTTGACTTTTCATCATAAATTTTAATTATATTTGGATTCCTTGATCTATCAGAGTAATTTTAGAATTATTTAATTCTTTTTTTATATAAAGATGCTTCCTAAGTCCTCTAATGCAGTTTTCCCATAAATATATTTTTATAAAAGTTCCCATAAATATTTTAATAAACCATGTTATTTGTATATGTCATAAATAATCAAGAAAATGACAACAAGATCCTATTGAAATATAAATAACAATTAAGTTTCTTAAAATGCTGTAATTTTTTTAAAATCTCTAAATACCTTTGTGATATTAATGATTTTGAGTTAAATGATTAAATTACTCATTGTTTAAAATAAAAATAATAAGTCTAATCCTATTTTTCTAATTACAACTTTTATTTTATAAATCACAAAAATTGATAAAAAAATTATAATTTTTTATATAAAATTTCTCTTATCGTTAAAGTTCAAGTTTTAAAAATAATCAGTTATAATTTTTATTTAAGCAATCACAATTTTTATTATATGAATTGTAAAAATTGAATAAAAAGAGCAAAACTTCCCAAATGAACCTGTTTATTTTTTTATTTTAAAAAGAGACAATTTAGTCATTTAATGTAAAATTATTAATGTTAGAAAGGTGCATAAGGGTTTTAGAGAAATTATGACATTTTAAAGGATCTAAATGTTATTTATATATTTCAGTTAAATTTTATTGTCAATTTTCCTAAATAATACCCCTTATTTCCCAAATTCATAAAAGGAGCCCCAAAATAAATTCTATTTTTTCATTGGCAAACTATTTAGTTAATAAACAAAAAAGTCATTTAACATTTAAAATAGAGAAAAACTAAAATTAAAACTAATTCTACAAATGGTAGTGTAAGCATCCTTCATATATTTATGGGTTAAATGGTAATTTGATTTATAAATTACAAGTCTATGAGTGTCTCAAATTCTAAATTCATTTTTTTAATATGCTCCATTAATTTTTGAAAATAATATAATGTAATTACTGTTGAAAAAAAGTTAATTTTAACTATTAGTTGACTATGAAATGACAGAAAAAGAACAAGAAAATATTCTCTTGATTCTTTGTTGTAATTTTTGGAGTCTTTATTTGCAATTTTTTATATTTTTTTTGTAATTTTTTAATTATTTTCTATAATTTTTTGCTTCTTTTATATCGTTATTTTAGTTAACTAATAATCGAGTTCTAGTATTTAACTCATGTTAATGATAGGGACTATGTTGCACCATTTTTTGAGAAAAGCAATGCAAAAATCAAATTTAAGATCCTAAAAACTCTTGGATTTATGATTTAGAAGTCAAATTGTTCTTTAATCTTATATTTTTAAAAACATTAATAAAAAAGATAATTGATGATATAATTGTTGAATATTATAAATATTTTTGAGTATTTCAAAAGGAATTATTATAAATTAATAATATTAATGATTATTTAAGTTTGTTTATTATTTTATAACATATAATTTAAACAACATTATTATTTGGAACCGTTTTTTAATTGTGATTACGTTGATTTTATTACCTAGTATTATGAGATCTGCTTATAAAAGGCAATGTTTGTCATAGGTTCAGTTAAAGCCTTAGTACTCTCGGCCTTTCTCTCTTCTTCTATCATACTAGTTATACAGTTATCTAAGTATATTCTGTAAATTTTTGTTGTTTTGTGTCCCTACTTTTTATAGAAAGAGTCTGTTTAATCTTGGAAAGCTGCCGCGCGATCAATTCGATGTGATAGAATAACTCTTAAGAATAGTACCCTTGGACATGACTAATATTATATTTTTACCTATTAGTACCAACAATAATTAGTTATGGGGATGATCGTAATGTCTTTCGGTCGAAGTGGATGATGTAATGTAAAATTGTGTGATCTTTTAATCAATTATTTGCTTTTGAAATATGTTAGAATCAATTGCAATATGGCTCGACACGTTTCTTTCAAAAATCAAACTATCAATTTAGTTATTACAATATGTGATAAAAAAGCCATATAAAATATTTTTCATAAAAAAATATGACTGCACAAAATGTCATTCGTTCAACCAATTGAAAAGAGCGTGAATGAGAGCAAAGATTGCCGAGCTCAATGCTACGTCATCGGCACACCTGTTTTTTCTGTGTTATAAACCATCTCAAAGAATTTCACATGCCCAATTTCTTTAATTACCAATCCTATCTCTTTCATATTTCACTTCTCAATTTTTCATTCTATTTTCTCATCCAATTTAGGAAACTGAGAGAAAATGCATAGATCAGCAAGTTGGAGTCGATATTCCGAAGACTATTTCAAGCAATTCACAGCATATCAATCACCTGGAGGGCTGAAATTTTCTTCATCGACCACAGATGACACCAATCTACCAATATATGATCCTGTGGTAGAGTTAACGAAGAAGGAGAAGGCTCGCATTAGATTTGCTGAGAATGCAGTGCACATTATTCCTTTTGTGCTCTTTGCTTGTGCCATCGTTCTTTGGATTTTCTCAAATCCATCAGGTTCATAATTTTGACCTTTACGTGTTTATGGATTTTAAAGTAATTCTCCATTTGATTGATCTAGCTAGTTTCCCCCCCGTAGAAATGAATTTTTTAGCCCCTAGATTGGAATTAAATATCAAGAGTGAGATAAGAATTGATCGTATATGAGGTTGAATGAGTATTCCATTCTTAATTTCAATTAGATCATGTACTTTCTAATATTTAGAAAGAAAACAAACAAAAAAGAATGTTCCCATATGAATTCTCTCCATCAGTGTTATGCTTGTTATCCAGTTTTTTTTTTTTAATCTAACATTTATTTTTTTTATTTTTAAAATCATTCTCTTAAATGCTCATAAGACTTACAATTGGGATATCTATAAATTAACACTTACAACTCGTCTTTTAATAAAAATTTTTGGGATCTAACTATTGTTAAATTAATCCCCCGAGGCCTAAGTGTTATTCCTATTAAATATAAAGAATTTATTTGGTTATATTCTCTTGAGTAAATTATTATTTGATGTACAAGTTTAGCTTTATTAAATTATTGATTTTGATGTTGTTGAATTGTGTTTGTTTGTTGAATAGATGTGGCATCTAAAGGAGATTCATTGGGACCTGAAATTGAAAAATTGAACATTGACGGTGAAATTGAGCATCATAGCAATGTTCTCAAATGGGGATAGTAATTTCAAGACAAGCTTCCATAAATAAACCTGAAGCTCAAGAAGTTTCTATAATTAAAGAGAATTCGTGAGTGAAGTTAAAATTTGATTAAAAAGATGACATATTTGCATTGTATATTTAACAATTTCAAAATTATTGTATATTTATATTATTCTTTATCTTTATATGTAATTTACTGAACCTGATTAGCATTAGCATTAGCATTAGCATTAGCATTACTATTAGTATTAGCATTAGTATTGAATCTAAATCTCCTGTATTTAGCTGAATTTTGAGAAAAAAAATAAAATATTGATAATCAAAATACATGCTATTGAATTTTTTACCTGAAAAATCTATATCTATACTAATATAAAGTGAAGCCATGGTAATACATTTCATTTAATTAATTAAGAAATGTGAACGTTAAAAGTTCAGGTAAAAAACGAACGTTAGCGTTTATAATTTACTTTGACGAGAATTTTTCCTAGATTTACTTCTTTTTTTGGCCAAAATTTACTCATCAATATATTAGTAAATTACAAGTAATATTAAATTACAGATTTAGTTTAGATTGATGAGCACGCCACCGCGGGACACCCGGAACGGACGCCTTTTTTCTTGTCCGTGAAGACACAGCGGTTGACAAAATCGACGCTCAATTTTTACCGCGGAAAGTCCCAATGACACGCTTTCCGGGGCTTACCCTGAGGTTATGTTTGCTAACATTAAATTGATAAGGTAAAAATAAATTTAAAGATGAAATTTTAATTTAAGTATGATTGGTATGTAAAAATTACAATTCTTAAAAATTTCAATTTCATAAAAAATGTTAGAATTCAATTCCATCATATTAATCATGAAATTGTTTCAATTCCCTTGAATTTAATTTGTGGATCCCACTATCTTCATTTTTTTTATCCATTTATAATAAAATAGGTTTTTTTAATTTAAAAAAAAATAATTTAATCTTTTTCTATTTTAAGTACCTATATAAATTAATATTATATTAAAATTTTATTTTCATACTAAATATATTTTTAAAATTTAATTTTATTTTAATTTTAATTTTATTAAAAACTCTTACATCACATCAAACTTGCCTTTATTACTCTTTTGGTGAAATTCCCAAACTGGCCTTTCTTGGTCCGCGTGTTCACTTTCTTGCAACTCCCGCCTTTCTCGCTGACTGTGACTGTCTCCGGATTCTTCGATTGGAACCGCTTCAACGGCCTAGCAAATGACTCTGGTGACTCCTCCGCCACGAGATGTGATCACTAATGCCTTTTTCCTCCCCTCTGTTCTTGGCTCTCTTTCTGTAGCGTTTGTTTTAGTTGCAGAGCAATAGATAATCGAAGCGGTTTTGATGTTCATGTTGCCTTTTCTGCTTTGAAAGCGACCATAATTTCTACCTGACTCGCCAATGTTTTGCTTAGTTATTTGGGTTTTTGGTCACTGGATTCGGTTTCCCCATTTGACTTTGTTTTCTACAGCAGCAGGAGGACGATGAGATGCTCGTTCCGCACTCCGACTTTCCAGAGGGTCCTCAACCGATGGATGGTAAATGCTTCTGATTTCTGGAAGTCACTTCGAGGTTGCTATGTGGAAGCTCAGTCGCTGACTGTGCATGATGATAATACCAGCGCGAAAGTGATCTTCCTTACTGTCATCAGATCATACGTATTTTTGAGGGCTGTCGGTTTAGTGTTTTGGCCAACCATGCTTTGTGTGAATTGAGCGCTAGGTTTAATGAACACGAAGTAGTTAGCTATGTTCTTTTATTTTTGGCAACTTAGCAATGTTTGTTTTGTTGTATTTCTGTTGGCCGGCTATGTTTCATATGTTCCGGAAGTGCTTGGGTTGCTAAGGCTGTTATTCGGGATGGAATGTGGATTTTATTCTGTGCAGATATTCTCGGGGTCTTGTCTTGTTTATTCGGTCCATTTAAAATTAAGAAGATCTAAAACTTTCTCTTTTGTTTTATAAATGGTTTAATCGTATGTATAATCGGTTGAGTTACTTATTTTAATGGTTTCGCATCTTTATGTTTCGCCTTGTAGTTGTCCAAGCGGAAAACATGAGTGCACGGAGATTAACTTGGACCGTTTACAATTTTTCCAGGCTTACAAATAAACTCTGTTCTGACAGTTTCGATGTTGGGGATTGCAAATGGTATGTTGATATTTGCCAGTATTATTTTTGGGTACATTAATATCTTCCAATATTACTTTCTTGGTAAATTGCTATCTGCCATTGTTTATTAGCTGTTAATGTGGCTATTAGTGTGTATGAATGCTAAATTAAGCTGTTTGTGCCTGTTGGTTTTGATTGTAATTAAATTGCAATGAACAGGCGGATACTTGTACTCCCAAAAGGGATCAATGCTACTGGTCATTTGTCGATGTATCTGGATGTTGTGGATTCATCAACACTTCCATATGGGTGGAGTAGATATGCTCAGTTCAGCTTGACCATTGTTAATCAAATTCTTTATAAATACTCAATCAGAAAAGGTACTTTCTATGTGGCAGGTGTTCTTCAACGGCTTTTCCTATTGCTACGTGTAGTAAGGAGCTTAGTTAAGTTTTACTTCTTTAGGTGGGGTGGATTTATGCATGACGGAGAGCATTGCAGCATTTTTCTTCATATACACTGCAACATAAGCTGAAATGGAGCTCACGAATGCAAATTTTATACTTCTCATCTTTTACACTTGGGTAATTTAGCATAGCCAATTGATGCTATATAGATAAGCATTTCAGTTTTATCTTCCTTTGAACCCACACTTTTATATTTTCTACTAGACTTTGTTAGTTGTTAATTGTGGGCCTATTTGTTTTAGCTTATTTTATGAAAAATCACTTTTTTTTGGAAAAAATATATTTAGTGAGCTTTTATGATGCTTGCTTAAAATTTTGAAATAATTAGAATACGATTTCTAATTATTTTAAGAAGCCACTCATGAAATAATCTAATGTAGTAGATGGGAGAGAGTATTTTAACAAGGTGAGATGCATGAAGATATTATAAAATTTTAAAATAATATAATAATATATTTGTTTTATGAAAGAAAAATCAAGGAAGATATCATAAAATTTAAAAATAACTAATTAATAATTACTTTTTTATTATTGTAACCAAACATAAAATAATATTTGTTTTTCTTTATAAAATATCTATACAATTAATCTCTTTTCATAAAATCTCTAAACTATATAAAAATAATTTATTTTTTAATCTCAAACAAATGGGTTCTATGTCAATTAGGGAAGCGAAGATTACAATTCAACTTATTTGGTCACTTTTAAAAATAGGTAGTGATAATTCAGAGTATATTGCTCTGATGTTTCATTTGTTATACTTTCTTTTCGATTTTGTTAGCTGTTAATTATGTCGGTTATGGAAGTGAAGATTTCAATTCAACTTATTTGGTCACTTTAAAAAATATTTAGTTATTATACAGGGTATATTGCTCTGATGTTTCATTCGTTCAAGTGTAGAATAATACTAAGATTTAAGGTCCAAGTAGTTTATGGAGATGCAACTCAATTCCCTAATCTCTGGAGTACAATATCTAATGAATCACAAAACAATAAATCTGAGTCAGTGAGCTTTAAGCTCAATGGGTACAGTCTTCAACATTTAGAAAAACAGTATATCTGAAAAATCCACTGTACAAGCAGTAAACAATATTGTTTGATGCTTTATTTACTAATTGAAATGTGAGGATTTTAATAATTAATTACAATCATGTTCGTGGTGGCTGCTACAATAAGAGTATGTTGGTGAAACTATGGTGAAGCTAACACTAATATGAGATATAGTGTAGTTCAAACAGCTATATCTTATTCATTCATCAAGTCGAGAATTATATACAAGCATAGGAATCAATCTGATCCCATAAACTAAGCCGAGGATATCGAAAGAGAATAAAAACAATAAACTCAATATCTTTGACTATTCTACCCGATATTCCCCTCATAAAGGACACTAAATATTTACAATAATTACAATTCTACCCATACTCCCCCTCAAGTTGGATCATAGATGTCAATCATATCCAACTTACTTGTACAATTGTTAAAAACTGGCCCATGAAGTTCTTTTGTCAAAACATCCGCAGCCTGCAATGTGGTTGGCAAATATATGAGAGATGGTTCCTTCTTCCACTTTTTCCCTTATAAAATGCCTATCTATCTCCACATGCTTAGATTTTTCATGCTATACAGGATTTAAAGCCATACTGATAGCTGCCTTGTTATCATAGTAAAGTTTTAGTGGGGATTCTACCTTGACCTGTATTTCATCCATTATGCACCTTAACCACAATTCTTCCATTATTTCTTGAGCTAAGGCCCGCGGTTCAGATTCAGCACTACTCTTGGAAACCACCCTTTGTTTTTGACTCTTCCAGGTTACCAAATTTCCCCGTATAAATGAGCAATAACCAGAGGTGGGTCTTCTATCTGAATGAGTTCCTCCCCAATCTGCATCTGTATAGATCTCTATAGTTCTTTGTTCTGTCCTTTTAAAAAACAATCCTCTTCTAGGAGTCCCCTTTAGATATTTGAGAACTCTGTATGCTGCTTCTATGTGTTTCTTCTTTGGATCACACATATACTGACTGGCTACGCTAATTGCAAAGGCTATATCAGGTCTGGTGTGAGAAAGATATATTAGTTTTTTTACCAGTCTTTGGTATCTGTCTTTGTCAACCGGTTCATCATTTCCTTCTTCATCTTCGTCTTCCTCATTTGAGACATCTTCCCTTTCATTGGGTTCATCCTTTTGAGTGTCTTCTTTTTCTTCTTCACCATAATTGGTGTGTCTATCGGTTTACAGCCTAGCATTCCAGTTTCAGTTAAAATATCCAGAATGTACTTTCTTTGAGACACATAGATCCCTTTCTTGGACTGTGCAACTTCCATTCCCAGGAAATATTTTAGTTTCCTGAGATCTTTAACTTCAAATTCTCTTCTAAGAGCTGCCTTGACTCTACTGATTTCTTCCTCATAATCTCTTGTAATGATTATATCGTTAACATATATGATAAGAATACATCTCTTACCACTCTCATTTTTAACAAACATTATGTGATCAGAAAGGCATTGCTTGTAGCCTTCGGTCTTCAAAACTTTAGATAATCTATCAAACCATGCTCTTGGGGATTGCTTCAACCCATAGAGTGATTTCTTGAGTTTGCAAACCTGTCCAACTTTCTCATCTCCAAATCCTGAGGGTAAAGACATATACACTTCCTCTTTCAACTCTCCATTCAAGAAGGCATTTTTAATGTCTAATTGATGAAGCTGCCAATCAAGATTTACTGCAATTGATAATAACACTCTGATAGTGTTTAATTTAGCTATGGGGGCAAACGTTTCTTTATAATCCAAACCATAAGTTTGTGTAAATCCCCTTGCAACCAATCTAGCTTTGAGCTTGTCTAGATTACCATTGGCATCATCCTTGGGAGTAAACACCCACTTGCATCCAATCACTTTCTTCTCTTTAGGTAGGTCCACAATTTCCCATGTGTCATTTTTCTTGAAGGCTTTCATTTCTTCCAAGACTGCATTCCTCCATCCAGGTATCTTTAGTGCTTCATGTATGTTATTGGGAATTTTCACCCTATCAACATTAGCAATAAATGTGCTGTACCATGGAGAAAGAGCATTATAGCACACATACTTCTGTATAGGGTGTTGGGTACAAGATCTAGGTTGCTTCCTTACAGCAATTGGTAGATCTAAATCATCTGCAATCATCTCTTCACCTGTCTCCACCTCAACAGCCCCCTCATCATGTTCTACTTGGTTGGGTTCAAGAACTTCTACCGGGTTTGATTCTGGAAGTGCATCGGGCATGATGGTGCTATTATCACATTTTCTCTTTTGTTCATAAACTAGTGTATAATCCTTGCTTCTACCTGTTGAGACAGAAGGAGTTTGGGTTTCGGGTAACATAATAGGTTCAAGGACTCTCTCCCCCTCACTTGCCAAAAACTGATATTCATTATTCCTCCACTCCCCCTCAATTGAAGGTTTTGGAAAAAAATGGCTCATGTTCAACAAAGATAACATCAAGGCTAGTGTAGAGACGTTTAGTGGTAGGGTCATAGCATCGATATCCCTTTTGTGAAGGAGAATAACCTAAGGAAATACATTTGACTGCATGAGGATCAAGTTTGGAGGGACAAGAAGTATGAATAAAAGACGTGCAGCCAAAGACTTTGAGAGGAATGGAAGAACTGAGGTGGGTTAGGTTAAGAGATTCCTTGAGTTTGTCAAGTGGAGTAGAGAAGGAGAGGACTAGACTCGCCATTCGGTTAATAAGATAAGTGGCGGTGAGAATAGCATCCCCCCAAAAATACTTAGGAACATTAGAAGTAAACATTAAAGCTCGAGCGACCTCAAGAAGGTGTCGGTTTTTCCTTTCAGCAACCCCATTTTGTTGGGGACTATTAGAACAAGTACTCTTGTGAAGAATGTCATTATTTTTTAGGAGAAGACCCAATTGGCTATTAAAGTACTCAGTGCCATTATCAGTGTGGAGAATTTTGATAGTGGTGTGAAATTGAGTTTTGATCATGGTGTAAAATTCAATGAAAACGGAAGAGACATCACTTTTTTCCTTTAGAAGATAGACCCAACAAAGTCTAGTATGATTATCGATGAATGTGATAAACCATTTAGAATGTGTTCGATTTGGAATTCGTGATGGACCTCTTAAGTCATTGTGGACAATCGAGAAGGGATGCGAAGATTTGTATTTCGATCGAGGAAAAGAAGTTCGGTGATGTTTGGCTAATTCACACTCATCACAATGAAAAGAAATCATTTTATTAGAACAAAGTTCAGGAAATAAACTCCGCCTATGTTTATAGCCGGTCCCAAGCCCGGGTAAAGGAGGAGGGTTATGTTAGGCCATCAACAGCCAATGTAAAACTTTGTTGAATCTATCATGAACATGGACAATAGACGTTATAATGTTAATGCTAGGTCGTTGCCCGTAAGTAACGCGCTGCATGGCTCGAGTACAGTGATAAGTGAGTTAGAGCTGCTGCATCGGCGCCCGGATGTAGTGTTAAATGAGCAAGGGCTACCGTGTTATTCTGGATGCACGCGGCTAAAGAAGTTAGTCCATGAGAGCAAAATTAGATTTGGTACTTGGAATGTTGGGACATTGAATTGTAAATCTGTAGAGGTTGTCGGGGTTATGATTCAAAGGAAAATCAATATCCTTTGCTTGCAAGAAACAAAATGGCGTGGAGAAGAAGCTAAAGATATTCAAGGTTTCAAACTTTGGTATACAGAAAAAGTAAGTGCACGCAATGGAGTAGGCATTATAGATAAGGAGTGGAAGAAGAACGTTGTAGAAGTTCGCAGAATTGGAGATAGAATTATTTCCTTAAAAATGATAATTGGACGTGAGACTGCTAATATTGTTAGCGCTTATGCACCGCAAGTCGGGACAGAAGCCAGTCTTAAGGAATTATTTTGGGAGGATCTGGAGGGGTTGATTCGACACATACCACAGAGTGAAAAAATTTTTATTGGAGGAGACTTTAATGGGCATGTTGGGAGGGAAGCTGGTTAGTATGCGAGGGTGCATGGTGGTTTTGGTTTTGGAGAGCTAAACAATGAAGGACATACTCTTCTTGATTTCTCATTGGCGTATGATTTTAAGATTGCCAACACTTGTTTCAAGAAGAGAGATGAGCATCTCATCACTTACAAAAGTGAAGCCTCAAGGTCACAGATTGATTTTCTTTTAGTTAGGAACACAGGTAGAAGACTTTGTAAAAATTGTAAGGTGATTCTCGGAGATGCTGTAACGACACAACATAGGGTCCTAGTCCTTGATGTGTGTATTATGAGTAAAATCCAAAAACGTCGACAAGTAGTAGCACCAAGGTTTAGGTGGTGGCAATTAAAACGTGAGAAGCAAGATATTTTCAAGCAAAATTTTTGGATAAAGGAATTTGGGAATCTCAAGGAAGTGCTAACATCATGTGGGAGGATATGGCTAAAAAGATATGGGAGGTTGCAAAAGTAGTTTTGGGAGAATCAAAAGGTTCTGGCCCGAGAGATAAGGAGTCTTGATGGTGGAATAATAGTGTACAAGACAAAATCAAGTATAAGAAGAACTGTTTTAAAGTCATACATTTGTGTAACAATGAAGAAAATTGGGAGAGGTACCGTATGGCTAAGAAGGAAACTAAGAGAGCTGTGGGTGAAGCTCGTTCTAAAGCTTTTGAAGAATTTTATAAGAGCCTTGAGATGAAAGAAGGAGAGTGAAATATTTATAAGATTGCCAAGAGTAGGGAAAGAAAATCAAGAGATCTAGAACAGGTAAGGTGTATTAAGGATGAAGAGGGAAGAACTTTAGTTACAGATGATAAAATTAAAAATAGATGGGAGACTTACTTTTCTAAACTTTTCAATGATGGAGAGGGTTCATCTAGTAACTTGGAGGATTTAGTAACTGGTGAAGGAGAGCAAAATTTGTCATTCTATCGAATAATACGTGATAAGAAGGTAAAGGGGTGAGATGATTAACTAAGTTATTTAATGTGATTTTACAGTCCAAGAAAATGCCTGATAAATGGAGGAGAAGTACATTAATTCCTATTTATAAAAATAAAGGAGATATTCAGAATTATACTAACTATAGAGGGATTAAGCTCATGAGCCACATAATGAAATTGTGGGAGAAAGTAATTGAGCACAGGTTGAGATTGGAGACAAGTATTTCTGAGAATCAGTTTGGTTTTATGCCAGGTAGATCAACTACAGAGGCGATTTATCTACTAAGGGGATTAATGAAAAAGTATCGTTGTAAAGATAAAGATTTACACATGGTTTTTATTGATTTGGAAAAAGCTTATGACCGTATACCAAGAGAAGTGCTTTGGAAAGCGTTAGAAAAAAAGGGAGTACGGATTGCTTATATTAAAACCATACAAGATATGTATGAGGGGGTAAAAACTAGTATAAGAACGCCTAATGGTCAAACAAAGGATTTTTCTATAAAGATTGGACTACATCAGGGATTATCTCTGAATCCTTATTTATTCAACTTGATCTTAAATGTTTTGACGGAACATATTCAAGGGGAAATTCCGAAATGTATGCTCTTCGCGGATGATATAGTTCTTATAGCAGATACAAGAGAAGAGGTTAATTGCAAACTTGAGTTATGGACGAGGACATTGGAGTCGAAAGGTTTTTGTCTGAGTAGAAGTAAGACGGAATATTTATATTGTAAATTTGGTAAAGGACTATTCGACAATAATTTGGAAGTGAAATTGGGAGATCAAATTATACCTCAAGTGGAAAAGTTTAGATATTTGAGAGCCATTATTTAAAATGATGGCGAAATCAGTGGAGATATTTCATATAGAATTCAAGCTGGGTAGTTTAATTGTAGAAAAGCTAAAGGAGTTATTTGCGACCGTAAGGTGCCTAATAAACTTAAAGGAAAGTTTTATTTCACTGCTATCAAACCGACAATGTTATATAGTAGTGAATGCTTGGCTCTAACGGGACAGCAAGAGCATAAAGTTGGAGTAGCAGAGATGAGAATGTTACGATGGATGTGCGGACATACACGTAAAGATAAAATTCGAAATGAGCACGTACGTGAAAAAATGAGGGTGGCACCTATTGAGGAAAAAATGGTAGAAAATCGGTTGTGATGGTTTGGGCATGTACAAAGAAGACCAAGGGAGGCACCGGTGAGAAAAGTGGAACATATAACTTTGAGTCCGATTAAGAGAGGTAGAGGAAGGCCTAAGAGAACACTTTTGAAAGTTATTGAATGCGATCTGTTAATTAATAATATTCCTAAAAGCTTGATAAATGATAGAGCACAATGGCGTCTTGCAATCCATGTAGCCGACCCCACCTAGTGGGATAAAGGCTTGTTGTTGTTGTTGTTGTTGTAAAGTTCAGGAAATAAATGAGACAAATATTGCAAGTTTGGGTGACCCATTCTCCTATGCCACCACATAATATTCATATCGGATTTATTTTTAGAGGTAGAAACTAAATTGCATTGTATGCGAGACCACGGGTTACTTATGGTTGTTTCATCTAGATAATAGAGACCATTATGCTCCTTAGCACTGCCAATCATCTTCCCCAATAAAAGGTCCTGGAAAATACAATGAGCAGAGCAAAAATGAGCCCAGCAGTTTGCATCTTTTGTAATTTTACTAATGGACAATAGGTTACATGCTAAATAGTGAACATGTAAAACAGATTCTAACTTCATATGGTCAGATATGATAATGCTGCCTTTGCCAGCTATAGGAGAGGATGACCCATTTACTGTGTTTATTTTTTCATTTCCTGCACAAGGGTTATACGTACTGAATAATTTAGAATCACACGTCATATGGTCTGATGCTCTAGAATCTACTATCCATTTGAAATTGTTTGAGGTAGAGAGGAAAGCACATATACCTTTGTGAGTTATAGAGGCAGTATGATTGGATTTTTGAGATGAGTTAGTCTTTTATAAGACACTCATGGTAAGATTGATGCTTTAACTGACCTAGTTGATGGGCTCTCCCAACAAATCCAATTATTGGTATCGGACCGAGATGTTGAAAGAGAGGGTAACCACTGAAACAGACAGAACGTTGATCGTCCTCATGAGCATAAGGATTATCGACGTAGAGATGGGTATGAACGCAAAGAATATAAGAGACCCACTCAATTTACAAAAATGGAGTTCCCAAGGTTTACTAGGAAAGATGCTCTCGGCTAGCTCTTGAAGTGTGAAAGTTACTTTGAGCTTGATGAGACGCTAGGAGTCCAAGATCAAGATTGCGAGTATGCATTTTGACCCACGAGCCTTTCAATGGCATCAAGGGTACGAGAAGACATGGGAGGGTGTGCGACCAACCTGGGATGAGTATGCGGAAGAGATTAAGGATCGCTTTGGGCTCTTGCACGAGATACTAATGAGTGATTTAGCTCGCCTGAAGCAACATGGAACTTTGGCTGACTACAATGACAAGTTCAATATGATCTCATGCAAGCTTTAGTTGCAAGAAGAGCATTTAGTGGACATATACTTATCAGGTCTTCAAGATTAATATGAAGGGCCTATTCGTCTCTCTAAGCTTAACACCTGGAGAGAGGCTCAAAAACTTGCTAGGATGCAAGAATTGATGACTAAAAGACAGATCGAGAAGAGGGCTCAAAATAAGAGTGGTGGGTACTTTGCATATATGCCTTCGGCCACCCCACCTTCAAACCAGAACACGTGGGCGTCCAATAAGAATACTTTAACAAATGTCGAGCCCACTTGAAAGAAAAAACAGCATCTTTATCAATAAAAAATGCTTCTCTTAGTCAAAAAGCAAGCAGAACTCCTACGAAAGTCCTTTCGGCTGAAGAAAAGGCTGAACATAGAAGTAAAAACTTGTGCTTTTACTACTATGAAAAATTCTCTCGAGACCACAGATGTCCGCAGAGACAAAAGTTGCAGTTATATTTTATTGAAGTTCAAAATAATTCTGAAGAAGGTGATCAAAACGAAGAGCCCATTGAGATAGAAGAAAATGAGGATAAATCTTTTATTTCTCTCCATGCCATTTATGGAGTGGATAGTGTTTCTTCAATGAGGCTCACAGGTTACTATGGAAAGAGGCAGCTCTAGATTTTAATCGATAGTGGTAGCACTTATGACTTTTTGGACTTTAATGTGGCAAGAAAGCTGGGATGGCAACCTGATGGAACTCATGAAACGTGGGTGGAAGTGGCTGAAGGAAGAAGGCTTAGAGTGCATGGCAGTTAGGAAGGACTTGAATGGAGAATGCAGCGCTTGGAATTTTCTTTTGATTTTAGAGTTCTTGATCTGCATACTTATGATTTAGTTCTTGAGCTTAAATGGCTCAAAAGTATTAAAAATGCTTTTTGAGATTATGAGTCTCTAACTATGTCTTTTTTGGCTTGAAGGTAAAATGTGCAAGCTTCAAGCTATGCCTCCTAATACCCTACAAGTAGTGCAACCAAAGAGGGTGGAAATTAAGGATTTTTCCACTAACCAAGTATTTTAGCTGCAAGTAATACCAAAGGGACTTGAGAAGATGGAAGTTTTGGCTGTACAGACCTGTGCAGAAATTTCAGAGGAGATTAATTCTACATTGCAAGGGTTTTTTGATCTTTTTGAAGCACCCAAGGGATTACCACCTTTTTGTAAAGGGCATGATCACTCTGTTGTCCTTCAAGAAGGCACCAATCCTGTAAATTTCAAGCCCTATAGACATCTCTCAGCTCAAAAAGACATTATTGAAGGATTAGTCAGGGACTTACTACAAACTAAGGTAATACAACAGAGTTCTACTCCATTTTCTGCTCCAATTGTTTTAGGTAAAAAGAATGATGGTACTTGGAAGATGTGTATAGATTATAGGGAATTGAATAAAAAGACAATGAAGAACCAATACCTTATTTCCTTAGTGGAAGACCTCTTTGATGAGTTAAGTGTTGCAAAATGGTTTACAAAATTGGACTTGAGAGCTGGTTATCATCAAATCCGAATGGTGCTTCAAGATGTTTCAAAGGCTGCTTTTAAGACACACAGTAGGCATTATGAATGGTTAGTTATGCCATTTAGTCTAACTAATGCTCCGGCAACTTTTCAAGGGGCTATGAATAGTATATTCCGTCCTTATTTGTGGAAGTTTGTGTTAGTTTTTTTTTTAATGATGTATTAATCTATAGTTCTAACCTTCTGTGCTAATGTATGTGTTGGGAACAGCCCAAACAGTGGAGTAAGTGGTTGTCTTATGTAGAATGGTGGAATAATACCACTTTTCACACAGCAACTAAGGCTACTCCCTACAAGCTTCTATGTGGTCAGAAATCTCCTCTCCATTCTCCTTATTTACCTCATAATAGTGTGTTAGATGCTGTGGACAGGTCATTTACAGCAAGAGAAGACATGGTAGCTGTTCTCAAACATCATCTTCATTGAGCTGTGAATATGATGAAGCAAAAGGCAGATTCACACAAATCTGATCGTGAATTTGCAGTGGGACAATGGGTTTTCTTAAAGTTACAGCCATATGGACAACTTTCTGCAGCTTCTAGGAGTACTAAAAAATTAGCTCCTACATATTTTGGTCCTTACAAGGTGATTCAAAGAATTGGAGCAATGGCGTGCAACTTAGAACTACCACCAGATTCCAGAATACACATACCTTTTCACGTGTCTCTATTGAAGCTGTGTCCTAATTCCAAAGTCAAGCAGAAGCATCCACCTCTCGACTGGCCTGAGGTACCTCTAGTTTTAGAACCTGAATGCATTTTACGGAAGAGAGTTGGTCAGAAAAGGAGGAGGATAATTACTGAAATTTTGGTCAAGTGGAAGCAGTTACCAGAGGAGGAAGCATCTTGGACAGCTTTGCATCAATTCCAATGACAGTTTCCCCAGTTTTTCATCACCGATCCTTGAGGGCAATGATCTTTTTGAGGGGGGTATTGTTATAAATTTGTAATTAGGATATGATTAGTTATAAATTTTAGTATATTAGTTAGTTAAATATAGCTGTTGGGAAGGGATGGCTCGAAGGTCTATATATAGGCCAATGATTGTATTTTGATGGTTATGATTAGAAAGGACGTATCATTTAGAAACCCCTTCTACCTCTCAATTTCTCTCAACCTCTTCTCTTTAATCTCTCATTCCTCTTTGCTCTTCCTACCTTCCTGTTCTTCTCTCATCTTTTCCCGGATCTCTCTCTAATTTCTATCAATCCAAATTATTCCTACGCATCAAGAAGTTTAGATATTTGGGAGCAATTAGTGAAATTGATAGAGATGTTGCATATAGAATACGAGCTAGATAGTTTGAATGGAGAAAAGTTAAATGAGTTATTTGTGATCGAAAGTTACCTAACAAACTTAAAAGTTTTATCGAACTGCTACAAGATTAGCTATGTCATATGATAGTGAAGGTTGGGTTTTAAAGGGACGATAAGATTATAAAGTTGAAGTAGCCGAGATGAGAATGTTGAGATAAATGTGTGGGCATACATGAAAACATAAAATTCAATATGAGCATATACAAGAAATGGTAAGCATGGCATCTATTAAGGGAAAAATGATAGAAAATTATTTGAGATGTTTTAGATATGTATAGAGAAAGTTGTGGGAGGCATTGGTAAGGAGAGTGAAACAGATAACCTTGAGTTCTATAAAGAGGGGTAGGGGAAAACTAAAAAGAAAACTTATACAAATTGTTGAATGAGACCTCTTGATTAACAATATTCTTAAGAACTTAGTTGATAATAGAGTACAATAGCATTATGCAATTCATATAGTCAACTCTACCTAGTGGGATGTGGCTTCTTGTTGTTTGTTGTTGTTGAACAGAATACAACCCTCTGGACGCATGGAAGAGTCTTGCGGTCGTGTAACACAGATCCACGACCCTACTCCAATCCATGTCCTCAAATGTGCTCCAAGCTTGCTTGTCATAATGAATGGAATTGCCAACACATGAATGGGTTTTCGGATCTGTTCTTGTTTTGTTTTGTTTTTTTTTTTTTGCCTTTTGGTTTTGCTTGTTTTTTAGCGATCTCACAGATTCTTGTCGTCTTTACTCTGCTAATTCAGGAAATAACAGTGTACTTTTGGCTACTATGACATGTAAAACTGAAAGGACAGTTTGAGGGGGCATTATTTTTCTAGTTTCAGAAGTACTGCTTGACTGATCTGTTTTGATCCATGTTCCCTTTGGTGTGGGCCTTTCAAGTTTTATGTTGAACGAATTTGGTTTTCTGAAAGGATATCACACAAGTGTGAGTGCGCCTCATCTTTCTAGTCCCAGAATGATTGCTGGATGATCAGTTTGATCCATGTTAACTTTAGTGTGAGGCCTCTTAACTTTTATGTTGAACGAATTTGGTTTTTTTTCTATGGATGATGTAATTATTCTATTGTCCTTTTGCCAGTGGAAGTTTGCTTTTTTTTCACGTGGTCGTCCAGAATACCTTCAAGATTCAGATATAATTTCAATTCAATTTCAGGTGTTTTCTCTTTCTTGTGGTTTGCCTTTCCCTTTGATTGTGTTAGTGTAAGGATTTCCTTAGAGACATTGCTTCTTTTCTAGGAGTTTAACATGCTATCATTTTACTTTGTAGAAAAGAGATATCTATGGTGATTGGGAGCAGCAATATCTTGGATTGGAGCACACTGACCATACTGCCCCGAAAAGGTTCTTTGCAACCAACCAGGTAACGTAATATGATCTCCAGACTAAGGACCCATTTATTTAACCTTTTTTTTATGAAAAAATTACTTATTGCAAAAAAAAAAAATATATATATATATATACGTATATTTTGTGAAATTTTATAATGTTTGTTTAAGCTTTTAAAAAATAGAATCTAAAAAAACAAATTTCTGATTATTTTGAGAAGTTACTGAGATATCCTAAATATGAAAATCACTAAGTAATAATCACTTTTTATTATTGAAATCAAATGCAAAATAATTTCTGCTTTTTATGAAATCTTTACAAAATTAATTGTCTTTTTGTATAAGCTCTAAATCATCTAAAAGTCTCTTATTTTTAAGTTTAAACAAACAGTGTACTAACTCCTAAATCTGTCACTGTACTTTAAGGGAGGGGATTAAAATCTTGTGGATATGATGCTTCCAGGTAAAGTAGGGTAGGATAAAACTATATATAGGTTAAGAAGTACATTAATATCCGTTGTCTTAGAGATTAATTAAAATTAATCCCGTGGATTCGTTATGTAGCTGCATGGGTTGGACAGAAATGGTCCTTGCTGTGGTCTTTCACTTATGTAGCCTCGTCTTTGAGCTGCTGCCTTCTTGTTGATTAGTAAAGTGACTATGCTTCTAGATAATGCAATTTTCAGCCTAAAAATTGATAGGACGGGATATTTCAATTGCCTATCCACTTGATTCTGGAAATTTAAACGAAAAATGGTAATGGAAAAAAAACATTAATAGATCATTATATTGTCAGTGCCATTGTTAATTTGGGAAAAAACTTTAATCCCTGGATTTTTCCTTAATTATCAATTTAGTACTTGAACTTTATTTTGAAACAAGTCGATCCCTATAGTTTCTTGCTCGGGACAACTTAATTCATACAATTCTTTATCTAGAGTCAGAGTTTGAGGATTGAATCGATAATTAAGTGAAAATTCAATAGATAAAAGTTATATATATATATATATATATATATTTTGTATTAATTTTGTATACAGAATTCAGACCCTACAATTATTATTTCTCAATCTAGCAGAATCGTCATACGTACGAGAAGTCAGTAAAAATCTACAACTAGAAAATTCTGAGCCATCTGGTTCAAGGCATTATATGATGATATGCCGAAGGCATTCGCGGCTTTCTGAAGGTAGTAGGAAAAGAATCATAGAGAAGCTGTCAATGTTGTTACGAGTGGTTCTGTCTATACATATCCGTAAGTCTTCAGCTGGGGGAGATAGCCTTGAAGCGATTTGAACTAAATTTCTCTGGAGCACTCCTCTGTGGGGATCAGGAAAATTGTATAGTGGCTATAGGTAAAGTTATATTCATTTGTTTCAGGAAAATTGTATAGTGGCTCTGGGTATATTCTATCCGATGGGGTTATGCATATTGTTTTTGCAGGGTCATCTAAGTTTTACCCCTTCCCGCCATATTTTTGTTTTGTTGTTAGACGCAAAATGAGTTGTTAATAGTAACATTAGTTCGGCCTCCTCTGATGCTCTGATTATCGTTTTACGTAGCTGTTGGTTACACACATATACGCGCGCACCGCATGTTTTTAGCAATGGCAGCGGAATAATTTATTTAGCTTAGAATAAACAAGTAGACTAACCGTTTCTATTGGATACGCTGGTTAAACGAATTTTCCACCAATTGACTTGTAATTTATAATCATAAATAGGTACGGCACCTCATTCTGTGATGATATCATCAGAATGGATGCCCACTTGTTTATTGTTAAACTTAAACGTGATGCTCTCTGATTTCATTTTGTCACTGCCTTTGTAGAAATACACATTTAAACTCTTTTTCGGGTGTGCAAAGTTCATGAATTGATCATCGACATATTTATGACAGTAGTAGTCATTGGCTGCAGTGTTGGTAAGTAGGTTGTTCCTGGCGTGAGAATTGTACTGGTGGTTGAACCGTTATGACCTGGTAAGAATTGGCTAGGAAGCTAGAAACCATTGAAAAACACTTTACTACGATGATTTTATGAAAATCTTCATTATAATAGTCATGTTCTAAGACAAATATCCACATCTGTATGTACATATTTATATGTGGAATGGTTTCAAGTTATTTATGAGATAATTTGTCTCTTTTTCTACATATTATTATTATTATTTAAATTTTAAATGTTAAATTTTACCTGAAATTTTAAAATCAATTTCTAAAGAATTTTATTTAAATAATTTTTTTCTAAAAAGATTTCTACAAGTTATTATTTGTTCGTTTATTACTTGAAAACTAATTTATTTTTTTTTTAAAATCTAACCTTAAGTACAGTAAACATTGTCAGCGTAATTCATGCTCAATAAGACGTGGGACGTCTAAGTTTATTTGCATGTTGTTTGTTAATTTGATACTCTCTTATGTAATGTATAATTTTTTTTTAAATTTCGTTATCATGTCACTGATTGGAAAATTGGCCTAAGTGTTATCCTTTATAATTAAATATGTAACATACTTATGCGTAGCTAGATTCCATAGAGAATTGTGCTGTATTTTTAGCTTATGAATTAATTATTTCAGTTTTTTAATAATTTTTGTATGGCATAAAGATATATTGATATGGACAGAATATTAATTAATTAATCTTAGAACTCGAAGTACCGAATGAAGCGCAGTCTTTAAATATCTATGGCTTCGAGAACTTCAGGTGTCTGGGTTTCACCAGAACAAAGATCCTATTCTAATGAAAATCTCATCGATTTATTTCCATTGCTTTATTGCCATCACTGATTTTACAAACTTTTAAGTCGTCCAATATTGATCAGCAGCCCATCACCTTGTTTGGCTTGAGCAGAGGTTTCTCCGTCATGGTGCCATCATTCCCAGCCAGTGCTCTGTACTTATCCTTCCTCGTAAAGCTCGTGCACTCGTAAGACAATGCCGAAGCAATCACTCTCTGTATATAATTCGCAACCTCATGGCTTGATTTTCCTGAGCTGCAAGTCAGCTCTTTTGGCAACTTGGTCAAGAACGTTACCTCATAAGCAGGGCTAGGGTTCATGAAGAAGTAAAATGGGTCCATCCCTTTCCACCCTCTTGCCGTCGTTCCGTGAAACATGCTCATCCGGTTCACCATGGCCACCGGCACCAGCTCGTCGGTCAGCTCCGCGAACAAGGCCGAAAATCTCAGAAGAAATGGCTCCCTACAAGTCGTCCCTTCTGGGCATATGGCCAAGTCACCTTCCTCCAAGAGCTTCTTTATCATGGCCGCGTCGATGGCCCGGTCACGGCTCAGACGGACGGTCTTTATCGGTGAGATGATCTCAGAGAGGCGGGAGACAGAGTACGTGACGGCGGGGATGGGGCGGCCGAGGGCGGTGGAGAGAAAGATAGGGTCGAGTAGGGTTCTGTGGGAGCAGATAAAGAGGACGCCGGATTGACCTTGAGCTTTCTTCACCGGAGGCGGTGGTGTGCCCTTGACCTTCACACGAACGCCAAGTGCCCAGAAGGCATAGTAGACTAAGTGCATGGGAAGAAGTGATCCGGCGGCGATGCGGAGGACGGCTAAGGGGAAGCCGATGGGGATCCATAGGATTGTGAGCAAAGCAAAGAGAGGTGTGGGTTTCTGGACGAGACGGCCGTCGTGGAAGATGATGGGCTTCGGAAGCTTGTCGCTTGTCACGGCTTTCACTTCTGGTTTCGATGGCACGATGTAACCCTCCTACAAGTCGTCCGTGCATCATCAGTTACGTTCAAACCTCTGTGCTACAATTTTGGCCCAAAAAAAAAAAAAAAAAACTCTTTGCACAATAGCTTGAAAGTTGAAACCGAAAGATAAAACATTAAGTTAAATTAAACTGAAAAAATATATAATACTATGATTGCGTTTGTTTTTAGCCGCTATAATTTTATTTTGTTGTTTTCAATTCCTTTAATTTGATTATCTTAAGAATACAATAAAAACCATGACCTTACACTAACAGAATTAATTTTACTCACGTGTATTTAATTATGTTAACCTCTCGACTGAGATGAAAAAAATACGATGATAAGAAAATAAATTGACCATGTCTGATTAAAATAAAATGTTAAACATGAACTCCACATCTTCATATCAGCATAATTTTTGTATAGGAATTAAAGTTATAGCCACATATCAAATTAAAGAGACTGAAAACAATAAAATTAAATTAAAAAAACTTAAAAAAAAATCAAGGATGGGAACCTATTGTTTTATTTTTTTAAAAAAAATAAAAAGTACTGTGATTTAATTTTATTAAGTACATATCTTTATTCTTAAGCAAAAAGGAATTGAGTTATGTGTAGTATTATATTATATTGTGTATATAAGTCTTGGCATTGACCTAGTTTTTGAAGACATGCATGTTTATATATGTATTATTACCTTGCACAATACCATGAAAGGAGCATCGGTTGACCTATCACCAAGCCCAATTTCTGGCTGTTCATCGCCGAAAGCCTTCCTCAACGCGCCAGCTTTCTTCTTTCCCACAAGTATCCCTGCCTCCGAAACCAACCCTGTGGCCCTTCCCTTCAACGTCCTTATTTCCGTCCCCAGCACCATGTCAGCCCCCAGGAATTCCTTCACAAACGGCTCCACCATTATCCTCGGATTCGCCGTCAGCACGCAACGTTTCCCACATGAGGAGAACACGCGCCAGCTCTCCGGGTGCAGGTCTCCGGCGTAGAACTTGGGCAGCACCGCACGGGCCACCGACTCGATGCTTGACACCTTCATTCCGGCCATGGAGGCGAAGATCAGGACTTGGATGCCGGCAGACTCAGACACGAAGTAGTAGAGAAGGCCGGCGATAGGGGCCAGCATGACGTAGAAAAGAAGCCTCAAAACTCCGCCAACCTCAAATGCCACCAGCGCAAAATACGGAAATGAGCTTCTTCCTCGCAGTAGGGTTCCGTCCATGTCAGCCACCACAGTGTGCTTCTCCCGTCCTATAGAAGGACATTTATTAACTGTTGGAAAACTCGTCGCAATGGCCATGGATATATGGACTTGAAATGAAAACTATACAGTTAGAAACACTCGCTACAGTTACTTAGCTACTACACAGTCTGCTTAATGATCTGTGTATTGCAGGGACTATAACATACATACATACATACATATATACACATGTATATAAAGAGAGAAGGGTGTGTGAATGAACGATGACATTAATGGAGGCTCGGAGATTTCCAAAAGTGACTGACAGATACATAACGGTAGAAACGAGGGATGGCTATACTCTTTCTCTTTGTTAAGAGGTGATAAGATACGAAAAGGCTTAAGTTTCTCCGCTTTCGTCCTTGTCTTTAACCCTTTCTTTCTCTTTGAGGCATTTTTTTTTTTTTAAATCGAGTTACGTTGCTAACTGCTATGTGTCTTTGTCGTGGGAATAGTCGACGTTCTTCAGTATCTTTATATTCTATCAAGGGTAATTCTAGCCCCTTTTGCCTTTTCAAATTTAAGTTCACACAGGCATAATGTAATTATTCTAATTAATTTTCCCCTTCTCTCAGTGGGCTGGTGAAGGTGCAATTATTAATTTTCTCGAGGAGTATGGTCTCAAATTTCACGACCTAGTGATGAGTGTCTCACCGGCACTACAAGATATCCAGAGAATACCAAATCATAATTTTTCTTTTGTTGTGTCCTATAACTTTAATCTAATGATTTATATAACTGCAATTTAGAGAGAAATGGTTGTAATGTATCCTCATATAACTGTTATTTAACTCATTGTTTCATTTGTTCATGATCAAGCATGGTTTTTCAAGCATTAATGAAATCATTCGACTCCAATGAGGACATTCACTGGGTGAGAAAATATTCATGCGCGTATGTGTGTGTATTATGAAAAATGAGGCAAAGTACTTCATTGTTAGCAATAATACAACAATACGAAGAGTGGAGGCTCCCATAATTTAATTTCTTGATACGACCAGGTCACAAGCTCGCTATAATGCTCATTTATAATGTAGAACCCCTCAACTTGACGGATTCTTGGCTGGCCAATCAACACAATTACCTTTTCCAGATGTTCATAACTAAGTTATTATTGTACGTGAAAGCTTCAATTAATGGTTTAATTACTTATCTTTGTTTCTCAATCATGTTGATGAAATTGTTTTGAAAGAAAAAGACAAGCAATATCTTTTAAAACATCAATTATCCATCAATTCGAGTTCAGTTTCTCTTCCGGGGCATTTGGTATTGTCTTTACTTAGGTGATAACAAAGTATTTTGCATAGACCACTTCACAAACTTCAAAGGTACGAACTTTAGAATCCATTTTTCACCAAAGTTTATGCAAAATTATTTTAGTACCTTAGGTGCATGTGGATATATACATATATAGAGAGAGATAGAGAGAGAGACTCTAACTCTATTTTCTTCTTCTGTCTTTTTAAATAAAATTATTTCTGAAAATTCAATTGGTTCAATGGCATGAGCCTTCTACTTTAAAGCAATGAGTTGTGAGTGGGGATCGAGGTTAGTGGGTGTTTGC